AGAAAGAAATTTTTTACTATGAGGGTGGTGAGACACTGGAACAGGTTGCCCAGGGAAGTTGTGGATGCCCCATTCCTGGAAGTGTTCAAGGCCAGGCTGGATGTGGCCTTGAGCAACCTGCTCTAGTGGGAGGTGTCCCTGCCCAGGGCAGGGGGGTTGGGACTCAATGATCTTTGAGGTCCCTTCCAACCCAAACCATTCTGTGATTCTATGATCTTTTCACCCAGTGCTACTACACCCCCCAATTCATAGCTGCAGTGGATTTTAGATTTGAAACACTAGCCAGACTGACTGCTCAAAAGCTCCTTCACATCCTCCTTAATACCAACTGCACATTTGCAAGCTCAACTCTTAGAACAAAGCAAGTGGCCACATACATACTGCTGGGTCCATTACTCTACTTAAATCCCTCCTGACAGTCTCCATAACTAACAATAAAGAGGTGATGAGAGCACAGATGCCACCCTAGGGCTGAAGGTTTTTTTATTGCCCTCCTATTGAACTGTTACAGGTGAAGAAAACAAACACTGACGAGAAACACCTGTCTCCAACTGAAGCTGTGGGAATCACACTATAGGTGATGCTTTGGTAGATGTTTAAAAGAGGTCTAATAACCCTGAACTTGAACATCTGTTACAGGACTGGGTCTTAAAGCTCCTTCACATCCTCCTTAATACCAACTGCACATTTGCAAGCTCAACTCTTAGAACAAAGCAAGTGGCCACATACATACTGCTGGGTCCATTACTCTACTTAAATCCCTCCTGACAGTCTCCATAACTAACAATAAAGAGGTGATGAGAGCACAGATGCCACCCTAGGGCTGAAGGTTTTTTTATTGCCCTCCTATTGAACTGTTACAGGTGAAGAAAACAAACACTGACGAGAAACACCTGTCTCCAACTGAAGCTGTGGGAATCACACTATAGGTGATGCTTTGGTAGATGTTTAAAAGAGGTCTAATGACCCTGAACTTGAACATCTGTTACAGGACTGGGTCTTTGAAGATGAATCCCAAAGGGAAGAGGGAAAGAGTTTGGTGAAACACAACATCTGGAGGAACTCACTTTGTCACACTTTAAACAGTAACAAAACCCAGCAGTTGAACAAACGTAAATGGACTAGAAATTTCAGAAATGGATTTGAGAAGGGCCAAAGCTTGTTATTTTGGTTTCTTACAAAGCTTTCATGGATGCAAGCCTTCAATATTTCACTTGGTCTTACCTTGTTTGATGTCTTCAGGATTGGCACTTCGTTTTCTGAATTAATTTTGGCCTCCATCTCCTCCCAGGTCCTTTCTGAGTTCTGAAACAGTATCCTGCAGCACAAAAAGTTGAGCAGGTCTTAAAATTGCCATCCAAAAGCTGCTTGTTTAAAAGACTTAATTATCACAAGATGTGGCAACAAAGGAGATTAATGGATTAGGGGGTCAGACAAAGCGCCTTTCAGCTGATACAGGAACAATCCAAAGTCCTTCCCTAACTGATGTCTCCTAGAGCACCAACATGCTTTGAAGAGCTTTCACAAGGCTTGGTGACCTGCAAGCTTTCTGAGGGCCTTGGGGGAGGAAAGAGGAGACATGCCACCAAGAGGAATGCATTTTCTGCTCTTTGCACCAGCAACATTCCAAAGTTAAGGCATCAACAGGCATCACAAATCCAGCAGTAAAATTCCAAAGGCCAAACAAAACAAACTTTCCAAGACAACGATGCATTATCTTCCACAAGCCAACAAACTCAGCAGCAAGTCAACATTTCAGGCCAGGGCTAAAAAGTTACTTACTTCATTTTTTCAGCTAGGTTTTCTGTATTCTCACGGATTGTATGTGATAACTGGGACACCGGGTTCAACATCAGATTGTCAAAGATTACCTAAAATATAAGGGCAGAGCAGAGAACTTTTAACAGAGCCACATATTACAAAACTGGAAATTTTTACAGTTAATGATCTCTACTGAAACATCTTTATCTTTAGGGATGACATTTGAAGTTCAAGGGAGATTAAGATGACACGGAGCTTTGTTGCAGCACTTGGGCAAAAAGATTAATACTAACTCGTTCAATTTTTTTTTTTTTTCAGAAACTCTATAGTTGTCTACAGTAAGATAACTATTTAAGTGTTTCTGAAAGAAAAAGCTTAAGACTTTTCAAGCCTCACAGGCATCTTTCCTCTCTGCAAAAACCCAAAAAAGCCAAATCCCAACACAAGAAGTCCCACAAGCAATCTCACTGAAACCATCTAATGTGATTTATGAGTCCAAGCCCCCTTCAAAGCCATGTAACATCCCACCACGTTACATTCTGCTTTATTAAAAACAACAAGAAAAAAAACCACCAAACTCCAAATAAATCAAGTCCTGTGGTTCAAATGGAGCCCCAGGCTTCTACCAGGAAAGCCTAGATCAGCTGGGGGGCACTGGACCTGCATCTTTTATTTGGCCTTGGCATGTCTTTACAGGGGAGAAGGATTGCTTCAGGCCAGTCACAGGGTAGGATGGGGACACTGGTGGCTCAGCCCAAGTTCCCCTCCATCACCTGTTTTGAGTCACAGTTCCCCTCCGGAGCAGCAGTGACTGTCCTGGAGCCCAGCTATCCCTTCCTGCCTCCCCAGAGCCTCTGCCCCAGCTCTTCCTTCTCAACCAGAGCCATCAGAAGCAACAGCCTGCTCCTCTGCTCCCTGTCACCATCAACCTGTTACAGCCTTCACTCCAACACTATTCCCAGCCTCAAGTTTCAGGCCAGGCTTCCTTTAGCATCATCCCAGTGACTTCTGGGTTACCCTGCTCTCTAGCTCCAGATGAACTGCATCAAATCCTGCATTGTCTGGAGAAGAGAAGGCTGAGGGGAGACCTTATCGCGGTCTATAACTACCTGAAGGGGGGGTGTAGAGAAACGGGGGTCAGTCTCATCTCCCAAGTCACAGAAGATACCACAAGGGGAAATGGCCTCAAATTGCTCCAGGGGAGGTTTAGATTGGATATTAGGAAACATTTCTTCACCGAAAGGGTTATCAAGCATTGGAATAGGCTGCCCAGGGAAGTGGTTGAGGCACCATCCCTGGAGGTGTTCAAAAGATGGGTTGACATGGTCCTCAGGAATATGGTTTAGTGATTTTTATTTCTTATTTATTTTTTTGTCAGAGTTAGGTTGATGGTTGGACTAGACGATCTTTAAGGTCCCTTCCAACCTAGACGATTCTATGATTCTACAATTCTATGAGATCGCAGACAACCTAGACAATTCTATGATTCTACAATTCTAGGAGATTGCACACGTTGGAGGAACAACGCAAATGGCTCGCTGCGTAGACAGCAATCCAGCTGTGCCACGGCACTCGAGCCCAGCTGCAGAAACTCCTCACAAGGTGCAGACATGGGTCCAGCAGAGGGCCACAAAGATGCTCAGAGGGCTGGAGTACCTCTACTGAGAGGACAGGCTGAGAGAGTTGGGGTTGTTCAGCCTGGAGAAGGCTCCAAGGAGACCATATAGCCCCTTCCAGTAACTAAAGGGGCTCCAGGAGCATTAAACTAGGGGTGCTGCAGATTTCAAAGTTGAGATTTTTGCATTTTTCTTTAAAAGAGCACTGAAATAGCCTAAGTGGGCTCTGACACCAAATGCCTCCTCCCAAACAACAAGTGACCAAGCCTCAGGTTTTAATGGAGTTATACACAAGAGAGGAAATTTTCAGTCACCATTGGCAAGAAGAATGATTCTGTTCCTCTTTTTTTTTTTTTTTCCTTTTTTTCAAACACAGTTTCTATACGTACAAGTCAGGGCTCCTGAGAAGTCAATTTTTTTTTAGTAGCCTCCTTTGGCAGCTTAGCAAGAGCGGGTATACCTACTGCAGCTTAAAGCAATGTCATATATGAAGTAAAGAAAAAGATGGCCTGCCTCCTCACGGTTTCTTGTCCTCGTTTTTCTTGAGGGATCCTCTTCTCTATTATCATTCATATTTTGGTCAAAATCCTTCAGTTCCACTGATCCCGGAGGCACTTTCTGGTAGTTCAGACTTGCTTCTGGAATGTGCTGCACCAACTTGGAAATAATGAGTAATGAGTCATTAAAAAATTAGTAGGGAAGGAGGCACACAGGCACTCACTGCAGGTACTGCAGATTTTCAGGCAAGTCCCAGAGGAATACTGATTCATTTAAGACTTGTTCAGACAGGTATGGGTTCCTAAGCAAATTACCAGATCCCAATCCTGCAAGCATCTACCCACTGGAGTCATCCTACGAACCTCAGTGGGGCTTTTCCACTTTATAATGTTGAGACTTGAGCATGTAGCTGAGAAGTACATCTTTGCCTCTTTTAAATTTAGGCTCCAACTCAAAAAGGCCCTATTTTTCCATATCTTATGTTTTAATATATCAATGCAACATTAAAGCCACATTAAAAATTAACCAGTAACCATTCAGTAACACATGGAAGAGGTGAAAAAGCAATACAAAACCACTGATAATGCAAATAATTAACAGGAAAAACAGAAAAGGCAAGACATCTACTCCTGTTTGGTTGACTGACTGACAAAAACTCTAAAAGAAGGGGAGGAAAATAACAGTGACAAGACAGAGATACAAAAATAATGGGATGGAAAGTGCACCTGAGATGGATATGCCAGCCGAAAAGATCTACGAGCAATCTGTGTTAAAACAGAAACAAAGAGATCAATGCTAGTGAATGACTGTGACAGCAAGTATCAAAGAGAACATGTGGTTTGGGGTTATTTTGGGGTGACATTCCCAAAAGCGCATTCTTGAAGGACCAGCACTCGATGCCCACCCCGCCCCCGGCATGCACTGAAGCCCGTGGAGGTCCTGGTCACCAACCAGTTCTGCAGAGGTGGTCTTGGGCAGCTCCCCAGTTACTTCAAAACAGTCTGTGCTGTGTGAAATCCTGCAGATTTCCAGTAGAAATCCCGAAAATCCTCCAAGCACAGAGAACAGGCTGAACGTACAGCCTGGAAAGGTCTTTGGTTGGCAAAGCACACGGCTCTTGTGAGGAAACCATGTGCCATCCAAGGTCCAGGCTCCCCACTCCCTATGCAATAGCACTTGGGTTATACACAGGCAGAAGGTATGAGATATTACGGTGCAGGGGCACAACAGCCAAAATGTTTAGCTCATAAGCTTTGTTTTGTTTTAAGCATCCTTTTGTGAAGCGCAGAACCAGTAAGTGAGGCTGCTTGCAGCGGTGAAACAGCATCAGAAGGGAATGAGATATTCCTAAAGTCCAGCAGTTCCCAGCACAACCAGTTGGAAACAACCCAAGGGCAGCACCTGCTCCCCATCACCAGGAGACTTTCAACATGACCTGGTCTGGTCTCATGCTTTCTGTTCTGTCACACCCCTAAGCATTTCCTCTCACCACACCAACACTCATACCCAGTACGTTAAACAATCAACTTAATGAACATAATTGGGCTCTGAAGGTTTTGCTGTATCATTATCAACTTTAAAAAAATACCAGCCAAAAGAATTTTGTGCCGGGCTAAAATTTGCAGAAGTAGCCAGTGATTTGGGATGACCCAGTTGACTCCTCTGGCAGCAGCTGAGCCTTCAGTTCGACCGCTTGGCTCTGCAGAAAGCTGGCTCTAAGCTTTTTAAGACGTACAAACCCACAACCCAAGGCATCCAAAAGAAACCACGGCTTTGGTAAAGAGGGATCACAAAGGTCTTACCCTTGCTGGACCCCTTTTTTGTTTGGTTTGGGGATTTTTTGCTTATTTTGTAGCAGTACTTCACTCAGTATGCCAAGAATCCAGATTATTATAAACTATACAGCCAAGGCTACGAAAACAAACAAAAACATCCCAAACATGCACTAGGGAAACTGAAAACCTCCCTGGCGAACACCCAAGCCAACACTCGACCTGAAAGGACAGAAGATGAAGAACAAGGTTTAAATCTAAGGCTCCATCTTAGCCTTTAAGAGAACGCCCGTGATTTTAATCTTTAACCAAGCTTTGTTATGAAAGTAACCTAAAAAGCAATTTATTTGATGCCGAGAAATGCTGTGCTACACACTGGTCCAAAGGGACACTGGACCAAAGTGATGGTATTAAACCCTCAAAAGTGATTCTGGCATTAGTCCTTATTTTTCCTGCATTTCCCCCTACGTTATTAGAATAGATATAAATATTTAGTAGTAGAAAAATAGGAGCTAGCAGAATGGCATACAGCACTGCGAGAGCCAGAGGAGTATAAGACAGTCACACAGCAAACACTTCTTATTCACTTATTTTCTTTTATGAGATATTCCAATATATTACTATTATAATGACAGTAGCTATTTCTCATCGCTATCTCCTTTCCTAGAATATTTAATAGAAAGTTGTTTAATAAACACCCACAAGATTCACAGTGTTTAGCATCACACACACTGATCTTCAGATATTTCCTACCAACTTCCCTGCATTAAGCCAAAATAATTATTTTAGCACAGATTCAGCAGCACCCAGTCCCTGCTGGTTCCACTCCAGTTCTGAAGACGAGGTGTGTGTTTATTAAACCCACATCACTTTATATTGCTCCTATTCATAACACGTGCCCTGAGATGCACAGTTCAGGATCCCAAGTTATTCAGGATTCAGCTCCACATCTCATCATGGCCAGTAGAAAGTCCTGCTGATTTAACCTGTTCCTGGCTATTGGTCACACACAGCAACTCCACTGATGCACTGGTGGAACTCAGAGGCCTCCCAGCTGAATCACAGCACTGCCCAAGCCTGTCCGGAGGAGTCTAATTAAAAGCCTTTACGGTGATTTCAGCCAACACTGGCTGAACACACCAAAGGTTATGGCTCCTGATCCATCTCCACAGGCTCCTGCCAGTGCTTCTTCCTTCACACCACTGTAACATCTCAGAAACCACTGCAAAGGGGCTGGATGGCACGTCCCTCACAGCACATGGCAGGATTGCAAAGCCATGTCACAGAGAAACCCTCCATTTGCCTGAGTCCAAGCAATCCTGCCATTCAGCATCACAACCACGTGCTTCTGGAGCCCATCATTTTGCACAAACACTGTGTTTTGCAGTGTCCTTCCTCTAGCAGCAGAGGACATCCCTCTCTATGAGCTGACTTATGGCCATACCCTTCAGTGGCACTCCACAAAAAAGTAGGTACACTGATTTTTCTGGAAGGAAGCAGTGCCAAGTATCAGTTACTGCCAACCCACAGCAAATGTTGCGTTTGCAAGTCAGAAGTAAGGTAGATTTGTCACCTTAACTTCTCAAAAAGAATAACACAAAAGGCAGTTTTGCAGGTGTGGCACTTGCATGGAAACAAAGCAATAAAACACGTTATCTCGGTGCCTGGAGTTATTGCACATTTGTGCACTGTGGCTCCTAACAGCCTCCAGGAGAACAATCCCTCCCTGAGCAGGCTGCAGTTAACCTCAGTTTGACACCAGCATGGCCACACTCGCCTTATCTTCTGGGTATCTCCCTAAACTTCTGCTTTGCACCTTCAGTGATGAACATGGCAGGGTCACAGGGCCTCCAGCTACGCTCTTGGCAGGGGAACAGCTTTGGTCCTCAGCTTCAAACCCTGCTTAGGAGAGGTCTGCAATTCTCACAGCACTCAAAGACAACAGAGGGCAGAGATGACCATCTGAAGAGCAGATAGAGAGCACTGTGTATTTTTTTAAGCCCGCAGCTGGTGGTAGACAGGAGGGACTTGGGATTTAAACAGCACCAAAAGCAATTTTACTTTAGCAGCTGGAGCCTCCTGGTGACCTTGCCGTCAAGTTTGAGCTGAGTCCCTGCTCTGGTGAGCCAAATGAAGAAATCACCTCTCTCCTCCCCATTCCAGTGCAGACAAACTGTGTTACGTGGTTCAGGAGGAAGCCACAACTTCACTGAAGAGCTGAAGGACAGCATGTCCCAACCTACCTACCTCCCTCCTTGCCTTCCTTGTTTGCTGGAAAGCAGCGTCCCAGCCCTCACCCATCAATACACAGATGGAGAGAAGGGATTCAAGTAACATCTGCACAATGTTTCAACAGCCCTGGCAGAAAGGATGCAGCAGAGATACTCAGCTCATACGGGGCACGCAGCCAGAGCACATCATCAGGGCCTTATCTGAAACAAGGAGGGAGGCTTTGGCTCCCTGGTACAGCAGCACAGCACGCCTGCCCCATCCTGTTCCTCAGATACAAACTTAGGGACCAGAGTCCAACTACAGGCCATGAAATCCCTAGGAAATAACAGGAGGAATCTAACATTTTGACACTAGAGCCCCTCCTGCTTCCTAGAGGCAGAGTAAGGAACCCTCAACAAAAGCCAAACCCACCCAGATCCAATACAGCTCTTGACTCATGCAGCCCACTCCCACCTCTTGCAAGGCTGACTGTGGCACAGGGGAGGGCTAAATGAAGAGCACCCAAAATAGACTGCAGTCAATCTTTCTGCTGGTGTTTTTTAGGGGGGGGCAAATGGGTGAGGTTTTTTTAATGCCACAGCAACTGGGGATGCTGCCCTGGTCTTCCACCACAACCATACCCTGCAGACTCGCTCACGTTCAGAGGCAGAGACTTCTGTCCCTCAGGGTCTTACCTCTTCTCTGGCCGATATGGTGGAAGCAGGAGTGTTGGGCACAGAGCTGAGGGAGGTGCTCGGTCCCGTCCCTGATGAACTCTGCGAGTCCCCATCTCCAGCAACGTCGTGAATCTCCCGAGCAAGGATGGCCACGTCCTTCACCAAGGTCTGGCTGAGTCTGAAGCAGAGGGCAGGCAGCAGAGCCATTAGGACACGTGATACAACAAGCCTCGTGCTCATAAAATGTAAAAATAAGTTTGTACAAATTATAATCTCTGCAGAGGCGAGGAAAAGCAGGTTTTTTTGAGGGGGTGCCTTGGCATGGTGCCAAAGAATACTCTGGCTGTGTACGAGAGGAACAAAATAAATCCATTCCCATCTTGAACCCAGCTTCAAAGAGATTTGATAAGAGGCAAATTCTAGTGACTACACGCTACCAGAAAGTATTGGAGACAATCCATAAAGAAGCATTATGTTATTGCTCCCTCACCCATCCACTCTTCTATTAAAAAAAAAAAAAAAGAAGGAAGTAAATAGCCACGTTTTCTTCTTGAGACTTCTTTCTTTTTCCTTTAAAAGCCCGTGCAAGGAAACACTTTTTTCTTTATTATTTTAATAATAAGATTTCAAACTCTCTTTCCTTCTCCTTTGTGGTTTATAGACTGTAAATCAAAGTACGCCTCCGCGTTCCCTGGAAGAGCTGAGGGATTACCAGGGTAAGCACGGCATACTTTAGAGGGATCTGGTTTGCAGAAACCAAGTCTTCAAGCCCCTTGACAGGTGCCCAGTTAACACACAGCAATTGTAGAATTTGGCTCTACTCGCTCTAGATCTCAAAACCAGTTTCTAAGTCTCTGGATTGCTGCTAGCAGAGCTTAAAAAAAAACAGCCCTTCAGACCAAAAATTAGCTGTTGTAGTAATTCTAAAGAAAAGCTTCTAAGAGAAAAAAAAAAAAAAAAAAAAAATCACTTCCCAGCTAGCTAGCTTCATCTGAAAGACACTTCCTTCTTTAATTTGAAAAACCAAGCAATGTAATAAAACTGTCAGTTCATCAAAACATTTCCTTGGAAAGAAAAATGCATAATTGAGTTAATAAAAAGCAGTTTGATCTGCCTGCCTAAGGTGCCCCCATCCATCCGTGCCGGTTTGGATAGAGCTGTCACCGAACGCATTCATCATATGATTCACTCTCTGTAAACAAGGGGCATTTTCCCTTTTAACTCTCTCCGACTCCTCTAAACCCCTCCCAGTTAATTTGGGAGCAGCAACAACGGAAATCAGAACTGCAATTAGGGAGCAGACTCTGTGACCCAGCCCTGCATTGTGCAGCGCCAGACGAGTCTGGTGCAACCACTTATTTATAGCTGCCGCATCCCCGAGCCGGGAACGCTGCCGGGAGGGAATCCAGCATCTCCTGGCATCAGGCTCCATGTGGCACAGGTAACACAGCCCAGTTTGAAGGTTGACAGCAACATTCAGGCAAAAAAAAGCCCTTTTGAGATCAGTGTGGCAAGCCATAGGGGTGGAAATGCAGACCAGAAGCAGCCAGCCGACAGCTTCCTCTCCCCAAAAGTATTTCAAGTATGGCCAGTACAATGGAAGACCAGTATTTCTGGAAAGTTGGCATAACACAGTTGCATATTAGAGATGTCAAACCTCAAATGCCACTGTTTAAAAAAAGAATCTATTTGCTTTACTGCCGAGGTCCTCCAGGCAACCATCAGACCACCAGTACACAATAGGTCCCATATCCAGGGACATCAAGCAAAGCAATAACTCATTTATACACAGAGCCCAGACAGATTTGGATTCAGTTGTGCCATGAAAAGAGGTTTCTGCCCTCCAGCAACTCCAGCTCCCTCAGCGCCTTCAGGCAAAGCAGCTTCAACAGTTTACATATTCAGTCTTGGCTAATCCCTTTGACTTCCTCTGCAGAGAATTAGGACAATTCACACCAACTGGTCCTGCACACACAGTGACTTCCAGCAGAAAGCAGGTTATAGACAGTTACAGCTTCTGACAGACTTTGAGCTACACAAGGAGATCCATCCATAGCTTGAACAAGAGACAAACGGAGCCCTGCACTTTGGCATTTTCTAGTGAGAAGGTCCCAGCACATCCCAGCACAGGCTGTAAAGCTTCATGAAAACCTTCCAACTCTGAACAAGTTAAAGTTCAGGAGATGGGAGGGGGCACACAAACAACAGGGTAGAACGTCTCTCCTTCCACCTCCACAACTGGGTTTGATTTGAACACCAAGCAAAAAAAGAAAAATCAACCCCTTTTCAACATGTGGGTTGAACACACAAATCCATAGAGCCCCAGCTCACCTGGCGATTTCTGCTATCTCTGCTGTTTGCGCCATGAAGTTGTAGGGGTCAGGGTGGTCATCAAAATCTTCATCCTCATCCGTTTCTCTGCCGTTGTGCTTCTGCTTGCTCAGCCCAGAGCCACGTAGCCTCGGTGTTTGTGTGGCTGTTGAAGTATGGGAGCGTTTGTGTTTAGGGGAGCTGTGATTTGAGCCATATTCCTCCTCCGAAGTAGAAGTGTAATCTGAACCCTGCGGTCTCCGCCTTGACGCTTATAAAAAATGAATTGGTTTCAGACCAAGGAAGGAGTAAAGAATAACTACAAAAGGGCAAAAAGGTAACACAAAACTAGCCCAAGAACACAAGGAAAGGAGAGTTTCTGTGCAGATTTTAAGTTAAACGGCACATTCTCGGAGCTCATTTCAAAAGTTGAGCACTTCTATGGCTCCCACTCACTGTATAAATTTGCAGTGGGAAATTCCAATGGAAAAGCAAAATGACTGTGTTACCAACTCCAATGTTATAAATTATTACCACAGACTTGGCTTTCCATGCACAGAAGCTCTGTGTATAAGTAGCACACGTTTCAGACTCCTCATAGTCCCACAGAAGTCTTTTTTTTCTAAAGAGAGCCCAATTTTCAAGCCTGCAGACACCTTTCCAATTAGCTGCGAGTACAGGCAAAAGGAGGGGGTTTTTGAGTGAAGAACAGAGTGTAGTGATGGATGTTATTCACAAGAGTCCACACTCCCACGTTCACCTCCTGCCACCATTAATGACACAGTCAGGGCTGGCTCCCACCCCTGGAGCCAAGTGGAAGCTGCCCACTTATCCCAACCGGTTCTGCAGACACCCAGGTGCTCCTGACATGGGGAGCACCTCGATGTCCTGATTTGAAAACTGGGCTCCCAGCATTTGCTCTACACTCTCTACAGACACCGCTTCATTCCCTTCCATCCTTCCCTGGAGAATGAAGACCCACCAAACACAGAACCAGCCGCCTTATTTAAAGTTACAAAAGTTAAAAGCTTCAGTCTGTTACCAAGATTATTGCAAGTCTGAACCACTGCAAGCGAATTAAAGCCAGCATCATAGGTGATACAAACAAAAAGAATAGATTTGGCATATAAAATGCAGGTAGAAACGATAAATAGTTACTGCATAGTGAAAAAAAAATCTTAGACATTGCTGTTTCAGTTATAGTTAGATAAAAGTCTTGGTTTAGGATTTTAAAAAATTATGTTGTTTTTTTTTTTTTAAATATGCTCATGTTCCAGCAGTAGAGATTCAGTTTTTTTAAACACAGGTTTAGAACCAAGAGGTCACCCTGTCACTGAACAGCAATTTTAAAATTAAGAGCCCGATTTTCCATCCCCGTACGCCAAGGGAAATCAGCCTCATTTGAATGGTACGGAGGGAGCTGATACTGAGTAAACAGAGGAGCAGGGGAGACAGGCCCTTAGCTTTGAGAACTGGTAACGTGGATTATTCACATAAAGTTACTTCAGATGGCCTGACAATCTACTGGCATTTCTTGTCTCGTGGCCAGATAGTTCATTCTGTTCTTCTTTAGTTAACTTTCTCCCAGTGGGAGAGTTGGAAACTCTTGAGGTTAGTTAAATGCTTTAAGAAATCCTTGAATAAATCAGCCACATCTGCCTCCTTATTCCTAAGATTTCACTGAATTTCACTGAATTTTTTAGAGTTGGAAGGGACCATAGAGATCATCTAGTCCAACTCCCCTGCTGAAGCAGGATTGCCTAGAGCTAGAGCATGTTACTCAGGACTGCATCCAGTCAATGTTTTCAATGTATCATGCTCAAAAAGGTCTTGATAGCACAGTGCCAATAGTTCAGTTTGTCAACGTTTCCCTTTTGTTCCAGGGATGGGGTGCTCGGCGTTGATTCACTGTAAGAGCATTAGTAGAGGAACATGCATCACACACTCGGTACAGCACGAGGAAGCACGAAGCACACGAGAATACCTAGAGCTTGTGCAAGGTCCACAATCCTATCAAGGAATTAGGAGGTTAGTATTTTAAGAGCAACTAATTCAAAGAAAGGATTAGCATCGTTTGCTGCAACTGCTGCACGAGGGAAGGTGTTAGCACGCTGCTACAAAGCTCTGGAAATCAAAAACCAATTCATTTAACCCAAGAACTGGCCAACACTTAGCATTTTTCTCCATACGATTCGAAGTTTGTGGTCCAAAGGCAGAGGGAGCGCAAAGAGTGCCTCCTGTTTGGAAAACTCTGACCACATTATTTTGTTTTAATTTTGTTATTGTTTACCAAGAAGTCAATAATAACATCCCCTCACAAAAGGCAAGAGAAGAGACTGTACATAATCTTTCATCTTATTCCCATTTTGATTTACATGCGTATACAAATGTGCAAGAAAAAAAAAAATCATTAAAATAAAAGGGAAGCTGGATGCACTAAGACAACCCAAATCAAAACAAGCAGCAAATAACAATTTTTAGCATGCAATAAACATGAATAGTGCAAGAAGGATAATTATTTCAACTGTATGAAAGCGTATGAAAAGGATACACCCAGAACTTTAAGAACTCCTTACAAAAACACAGATCTGGTGAAAATAGCATCCCTCTCAACAGCCCTGAGAAACCCCGCCAAAGGGGTTCTTCCCTTTCCTTGCCCCTCCCATCATTCCTAAAACTGAAGCAAACTTCTGTTTTGCCACATCCATGGTCAGTCAAAGAGCATGGGTGTAGACCAGGACTTAAACCCAAGGTGTCGGGAACAATCTAATTACCAATTACCATCATTGTTCACCCCATTTAATTAATGGCTGATTTCAATATGACGCATGTTGATATTGCAAGGGTCTGTTGAGTGCTCAGGTAGGGTAGCAAGACAGCCCCCAAATCACCAAAACACAACTATGCCCCTCCCATCATTCCTAAAACTGAAGCAAACATCTGGTTTGCCACATCCATGGTCAGTCAAAGAATAGGGGCATAGACCAGGACTTAAACCCAAGGTGTCAGGAACAATCTAATTACCAATTAGCATCATTGTTCACCCCATTTAATTAATGGCTGATTTCAATATGACGCATGTTGATATTGCAAGGGTCTGTTGAGTGCTCAGGTAGGGTAGCAAGACAGCCCCCAAATCACCAAAACACAACTATGCACCTGCCTTACCTACAGCAAAAGTGAATGGAAACAGAGTAGAGGGACTCTCTTGAGGCAATCACCGTGTGGTGTCCAGCCCCACATTTATTTGCATTTACAGGAAGAACAAGGGAGCAACCTTCAAAACAGTGGGGTGCTTATATCAAGTTTTCCTGTTTCAGACACCTTCAAAACTCCCACCTTTGACATGAGCTGTCATCAACGCCATAATCAGCTTTCTTGGAGCAAACTTTGACTCTTAGGAGTCAAAGAAAAGCAGAACAGAATTCCTTATAGCACTGGAAAGGCATTAAATTCTACTTTTTTAACAGAAAAATGGCAAACATGCTATTGTCAAATGGCAACTGGTTGCTTAAAAAGCAAATTCACCCAGGGGTGGGGAGGGGAAGAAGGCAAGCAGCTGTTTGCAATATCAACATAATAACATCTCACTGGGTCTGAGAGACACCCAGCTCCAAACCCACAGGAAATTTCAACCACTGTAACGCTCGTTAACGCAGACCTTTGTACTCACCGACGCAGGGCTCTTATTACTGAGATACCAATCCTTGGCAACCACCTGCAGCCTGTAAATCAGAAAGAGGGGAATGGGGGAAAAAAGATAAAGTGCAAGCACTTACTGGACGAGGAGGAGTACTTGACACTGCTTGAACGGGTCCTGCTGAAAGGCTGCTTCGTGGAGGCAGCAGCCGCCGTTTTCCTGGCCGCGTTTCTAACCTCCGAAATCCCCGTCTTCCGATAGGAATCCACGCTCCGGCCTGAAAACCCCGACCTCGACTGAGCCGTTTCGGAGTCACTGGGCACCGTAAACGAACCTGCCCGTTTCCTCGGCATGGCCAGGATGTCCAGGCGGGATAACTTCTTCGTCTCCGTGGATTGCTTGGAGGCCGGAGCGGCAGCTTCAGCATTGGAGGACGTCTTCTCGGTATCAACGCACTCGTTGTCGGAAGCATCTCCCAGCCGGGCACGCCGTAACTTCGAAGCCCTGGTGGGCCGTGGGGTGGATAAACTGTTGGAGCGGGTGAGAACTTGCTGGATCTTCTGCACATTGGAAGTCGTTTTGCTGTGGTCCTCTTTGGCAGGCTGAGTAAAAGGTTTCCTTCTGGGAACCGGCCGGTTTACCGAGTGCTCGTGGTCAGACACAACCGCGTCGGGGACGGGCAAGTAGGGCAGGCTGGAGCTTCTCTCATCATCTGTGAAGTCGAGTGACCCTCGAGCTCCAGCACTTCGCTTCATCTGGAAGCGTTTGGTGGCCTCGGGGCGGTTCGACGTCTCCGGCGCTTGTGTTTTCCGCTTCTCCGTCAGCCTGTCCCGAGCGCTGGGCTGCCCGCACTGCTCCTGGATGGACGGCGTGGAGGACGATTTCTCCTTCTGCAAACTTGCAATGGCTTTGCGTTTTGGGGCGCCCGTCGGGACGTTTTTGCCGCTCACCAAGCTGACCGTGCTGGCGGTGTCCACGTCCGAGTCCCCCGACAAGGAGTCCTCCAGCTGACCAGCAGTTTCCGAGGGCTCCAGCTGTTGGCTTTGACCAAGTAATTTGGCTTCCAGTGCTGCCAAGGCCGTTTCAGTGTCCTTAAGGAGAAGATGAGTCTCCTGACCAAAGTCCATACGGGTTGACCGAACAGCCTCTAAATCTTTAAGCAGAGGGTGACTTGAAATATGTGGGAGCTTATTTTGAGGAACACCACTGCTTGATTTATCTTTGGTAAAACTTTCCTGTCTGACAAACGATGACGTCTCCTTTCCTGCCAGGTTCTCCTGGTCTTGAGGAAGACTCTGATGAAGGGAAATAACCACTTTTCCTGCTGCATTAATGTAAGCACTGACGTCTTTGACCGGCGGCTTTCCAGGAACTGGCACGCCAGCAGACTTGAAGGAAAATTCCTGATCCTTGCTGTCTTTGTCTGCTCGAGTATGGGACACGCTCAGGGAAAGCTTGGAGGGAATCCCCACATCATTGCTGTCATCTCCAATGTAGAACGAAGCAGTAACTGGCTCACTTACAACTCTCACGTTTGAGACACGGGAGGCTCCTGGCTGCCGGCTCTCCGATTTTGCATCTTCCCCCATCTGCTCTAGCATTTTATTGTTCTCTTTATATTTTTTGCCTTTTTCCGTGCTGAAGCCGTCGTCAGACCTGCTGGCATCGCTGAGGCTATCTGGATCCAAGTCTTCTTGGATGAAGAGGCGGCTGCTGGAATCGCCATAGGCCTCCACGCAGTGGTCCTTCACAATGGTTCTCTTGGTGACCTCGGAGAAGGACTCTTGGCAGACCAGGACCGCGGGCGTGGGACTGTCCGATTTATCACTTGGTGGGAGCTGGGGAAGAAGGCGCCTCGTTCTCAAGGGCATGGCATTCTCTGGTTCCCCAGGTTTTGGGGCTACACTGCTTTCTGAAGAGAAGTTAAATGGACAAGAATCAACTGTTGTACAGCTACATCACTGTTTTTTGTTTTTTTTTTTAATTCAGTAAGAGCTTGATCCTTAGATCAAGAGCAAAGTGCAAATCCACAAAAGCACCCACAAGACACGTGCTTATAACTCAGCTTTTATGTAATATGAACACCAATAAGGCCTGGCTCCTGCTCAGTCCCTCAGGTTTATCAATATAGACATTTAAGGTAAAATTGTACTTAACTCCTTTGCTGGATCAGAGTGCTCAACACGTTCCCTCTGTCAAGGTAGGATTTCAGATTCATTCTCCCATAATCTACCTCTCAGTACAAGCACATACATTTAGAGGCTAAAGGCGTTGCTGGCATCAATCTACCATAAATCAGGCCATGGGAAGGAGATGAAAAACCGCTGCAGTGATGCAGTGTTTTAAGTACCCTTCTACATAAAATAGCCCCTTTTGACTAAATAGATGGCATTTTTCACAGTACAAGTTCTGTAATGTGATCATATCCCACAGGAAAGGCTGGGGAGAAAGACCCTGCAACAGTGAAGAGGCTGTGAATTAGAGCTCACCATCCCAGCCTGGGTGGGATTATCAGTATGGACATACTTCATAGAAAGAGTGTTCTTACTTTTCCCATTCTGTGACCGGGGCTTCATATCTGGTATCGCCTTTAAATACCAGGATAATTGGTTATTTGAATATGGTAATATTCAAATGCTCCAGAAGTCAGGTTCTCACAGTGTGAAAACAGTGGCAGTAACTTATGAGACAAAGGTTTCTTCTAATCTTTACTGAGTCTGTTTATCAACAGCAAACCCCAGAATAGCCTAAAATTCTCAGTACAGCCAGACACAGGAGAAGCCCACAAAAATGCCCCAAATTGCAAGTCAGCAATTAAGTCCGAGACAACTTGCAAAGGGCTTTCATCTGGCATCATAAGACAGCCTTAAGATTCACTACTCAGGGCTAGTTAACACCCAAGGCCCTTACGATCTTTCTCCTTCCCAGGTGCCCTTTAGTCATGTCCAACATAACACTTAGAAACTTCTTGGATGACTCCGAAATGCAAACCAGAGGCTCTCTCAATCTTTACTCACAGAATGCTATGGGGTTGGAAGGGACCTCTGGAGATCATCTAGTCCAACCCCCTGCCAGAGCAGGTCCACCTAGAACAGGCTCCACAGGAATGCATCCAGGTGGGTTTTGAATGTCTCCAGAGATGGGAGACTCTACCACCTCTCTGGGCAGCCTCTTCCAGGGCTCTGCCACCCTCAAAGGAAAGAAGTTTCTCCTCGTGCTTAGATGGAACTTCCTATATTGAAGTTTGTGCCCATTTCTACTTGTCCTGTCACTGGGCACCACTGAAAAAGGACTGGCCCCATCCTCCTGACACCCACCCTTTAAGTATTTGTAGACATTGATCAGATCCCCCCTGAGTCTTCTCTTCTCCAATCTAAAAAGACCCGGGTCCCTCAGCCTTTCATCATCAGAGAGATGTTCTAGTCCCCTCATCATCTTTGTAGCCCTCTGCTGTACCCTCCCCAGCAGTTCCCTGCCCTTCTTGAACTGGGGAGCCCAGAATTGGACCCAGTACTCCACTGGAAACCATTCACTCTGTCCTTCCCACCCCAAGTACATTAGCTAAAACAGACAATAAGCCACAGACAGATGCAGAGAAGCTCTTAATTCCTGCTTTTTGTATCATCCTGGCTTAGATTCAGCCACTTTCAAACAGTAATGTCAGGATGAGACTTACCTGGACCTCCATCACCCTGCCCAGAGACAGATCCAGAGTCAGAATAACTGTCCGCGAGGCTCGCCCACCTGGACACCCACTTCTGACTCCCCTGAGATGCTGCAGACATCTACAACAAGGTGGGGAAGGTAGTTTCAGAAAGAGGGTTTGTAAACCAAATCCCAGCCCCAACATCTTTCCTCTCATACAGACATCACTCAGCCTCCTCAAAATGGAAATCAATCCACGCATCGCATTTCCATCCAGACAGAAAAGCCATCTACACCTCCACCATCTCAGCAAATCCACCTGGACTGCCCGTACCTGCGCATCAGCCTGAGACCCACTCACAGGTTTTGAGGCAAATGCCTGGAGCAAGGGTGACTTCTGACTAGTGCCATTTTCACTGATTAGATGCTGATGAGGACTGGAGTCGTCTTTTTCACCTTTAATTACTGGTCTAAAGGCTGAAGAGATTCTGGAAAATTCGGGCGACTCAAGAACACCAAAAACCTGAAAAGGTGTTTGCATATGAAAGATTAAAAAAAGAAAAAAAAAAAGAAACTAGAAAAATATTAAAAAAAAAAAGAAAAAAAAAAAAGAAACTAGAAAAATATTGGCCCAAAATCCAAATCCATTAAACAGTCACACACAAACTATGATCCCAAAGGGCCAGAAACACTTGCCAATGCTTCCATACAAACCATGTAAATCATTTTTCTTGTCTACTCCACAGTAGCAGCTCTAACTACGCTTATTCATAGAATCCCACTCGGGCGACTCAAGAACACCAAAAACCTGAAAAGGTGTTTGCACATGAAAAATTAAAAAAAAGAAAAAAAAAAAAGAAACTAGAAAAATATTGGCCCAAAATCCAAATCCATTAAACAGTCACACACAAACTATGATCCCAAAGGGCCAGAAACACTTGCCAATGCTTCCATACAAACCATGTAAATCATTTTTCTTCTTTACTCCAGCAGCTCTAACTACGCTTATTCATAGAATCCCACTCACACCCACCTTTTCTCTCACCCTCATTATTTCAATGAGTTGCCTTTTAGTAGTAGTAACTTTCACTGAAAAGAAGTCCCTTTTCAGCCCTGAGAAGTTCAGGATGAGTGTCAGGAAAGCTATTTACCAGCTCATTCATGAAGAATTAGGAATTAAAAAGAAAAGGGGAAAGCTCCATCTCCAGGGTCTTTCATAGACTGTAGCAGAAAGTGGGCTAAGGAGAGCAGCATGGGGATCTGCTTTGGATGCACATCTGAGATGGGTGAGTGTTTGAACTAGTTGGCCAGATTCCCTCTGGAGATAAACAGGCCTTCCTGGGGGTTTGACCAAGACCCACACCTCAGAAGGACTTGCTTCTCTTCCCTGACTACAAGCTCAGAAGATGATGCCACCACGGAGGCTGGGCAGAGATAACCATCAAGTTCTTCACTCTCACTTCTATTAAAAAAACATCTGTGTGCAACAGTGGAGGGAATAAAAAGCAGAGTCACCTCAAAACCTCAGAATTCATACCATCTTTCTTCCTGGACAGAAACACTGAGGTCCAGTGACATTTCCTAACCAAGTCCATAGCAGAGTCAGGAGCAGAACTTGGCCAGCACGTCTGCCTGAGCCACAGGCTGCCAAGACTACTAGCCAGAAATAATTGCAATTTTGTGGCATTTTTCCTGGTATTTCCCCACCAGACCAATTAACCATCTAATGTCAGGACCAGGGCCTTGCTACGCTTAAACCCTGCCCTGAAAGCTTCCGATCACATTTCAAACAAAACATAAGGAACAAACATAATAAATAAACAAATGAGGGAAGCTGGATCCAGGCTCACAGAACACTGTATACAAAGCTCTAAAGCTAGGTTCAATTAAGGATTTCTTTAAACCTCACCATCCTCCTGCCTACTGTTCACTAAATCTTCATAGCAACTTGCCAGTTTTGTTTTCATAATAGACCACAGATGAAAGTTAAACCTGAAAAGCAGCCAAACTTTGGGTTGCCCTGCGGTCGCTTAGTTGGGTGGGTTGGTTTTTTTTAAGCCTCTCCCTCATCTCTGGGGTTTTGTTTTTAGGCTCCTCATTCACTTTGCAAAATCCAAACAAGTATAGATTCATCTAGGATTGCCTCTGCCCTCGACCGCACCCTTCGCTATCTCGACGAGCTGCCACTTGCCCTGGCAGCAAGCAACTCCCTCTCTAGCCAAGCACAGCCAAATACAGACCCACCTACCACTATGGCTCCTGAAGGTTCAAGAGCACCAGCCCTTGGCCTGTGTTTCCTTTGGGCGTACCAAATCCATCAGTGATGGGCAGCAACTCCCCATCTTCCAACAGCGGGCAGGAGGTGATGCAATGCCAAGGCAGAGGCTTGGGAGCCATCCTAGAGAGCAGAGCTGCTCCCAGCCAGGATCTCAGCAGCATCAGCCCCATCTTTATTCTGCTCTTGCCTTTCCTCTAAACAGGTGGCAAACCCACTCTTGCACTTTTACATCCAAATCTTATTTTGGAAGCAAGGCAGTTCTTTGCTGTGGGCTTACACCTTGCCTTCTTGTACTCCATTGGTTTTTTATTTGTTTGTTTGTAATTATGTTGTTTTGTTGGGGTTTTCTAACGCCTCTTCTCCTTTTTTTGAGGCCTATCCCTAGCACAGGTCACTCAGGATGATTTCCCACCCCTAACCACAAATCCTGCTACATCTAATTCAAAAGGGAGCAGAACTTCATGGTGGGTTTTTTATTTGTTTGTTTGTAATTATGTTGTTTTGTTGGGGTTTTCTAACGCCTCTTCTCCTTTTTTTGAGGCCTATCCCTAGCACAGGTCACCCAGGATGATTTCCCACCCCTAACCACAAATCCTGCTACATCTAATTCAAAAGGGAGCAGAACTTCATGGTGACAGCTGATGAAGTTAGGCCCTCCAGGACAATGTGCAGAAGCCCAATCCTTCAGCCCTCAGCTCACTGGCCGAGCACAGAAAAGCAGCATTTACCTGATCAATCATTTTTCGTGCTTCCTCCACCTCTTTATCCTGCGACTCTGTCTCGATGGTGTATGTGCCCGTCTCGCTCACGCTGTCTTCCTCATCGTTCCTCCTGCCCTGGGCAGACTTTACCTCTGGAGGTGGAGCAGAGGCAGACTCTGATTCTGATGATACAACCACACGTGGAGCTACCGGGGTAGGCAGAGGTGCCGGTTTCTCAGCGCTTGGCTTCCCAGACTGAGCAGTCTCCCTCAAGTACTCGGCCATAAAATCCTGAGCCATTTTAGACTTCCTCCCGACGCTCCCGTAAGTTTTGGCTGATGCTCTGGAAGCAGAAGAGGATGAAGAGTTGATCCTATCCTCTGTCTTCTCCCTCTTGAAAGAGCTAGCTCGTTGGGTCCCAGAGGAGTTGCTGTTGGCCTTGCCCGCCTGGGCCCCAGGGTGGGACGGTGGCACCGCGTTTCCCAGTTTTTCCGCCGGCAACGCGTTCTTGCGCTTTTCGACCTTGTTTTTCAGCCCCGGATCGGTGTCGCTCTGAGAGGAGTGAGCGCTGTGGGTGAAGGACTGCGACCGCTTCTTCCGCGGCGTGTCCTCGAAGAACTCGATGACGAAGGCCTGCTTGTTGTGCAGCATCTCGTGGGGATCACGCCTCATCTGGCGCTGCAGCCTGGCTTGCTCCGTCGCGCGTTCGCTGCCCGTCGTTGTTGTTGTCGTCGCCGTCGTTGTTGTCTCCTTCTCCGCCTTGGGTGCCACAGGGTCTTCAGAATCACTCTGCGTCCCGTCCTCGTGCCTATTGCCTGGAGACAAGGTAGGTAGATTTGACTTTCATGTTCTCGGTTGCTTGTGGTCCTGTCATTACCTCCCAGTTGAAATTTATCATCTTATCAGTTAAAAGAAATAAAAAATCCTACAGGATTAAAGAACCCCAAAGACACCCGCTGTGGTACAGGGACTGCATCCCATCAGGGGAAGGAAGTAAAAGAGAAGGGAGCTGTCTCCTGACCCCACTTTTCACCATTAGTTGGCTATCAAGTTATTAAAAACCAACTCAAGAAATCATTTCAACCCCAAGGGTTTCTGATTTTGTAACACTGACTGTTTTAGATACTTAACGTTCTGTTTCTTTCTTTTTTTTTCCATTTACATAAAAAAATAAAAGCGATGATATTATTTTGCCATTCTGCCCAATTACTGTGGTCCAAGATCCCCACATTATTTTCTCTCTGTTGCAGAGCAGAAATCTTTCTGCAGGATCAGTAACTAAACCCCACAGGCTGCATCCCGTGAAACCAACCAAATCCCCAGGAGGAAAGACCAGCTCAGCGCCTCACAAGTGCATGCAGCTCCGAGCACCCACCTTCCCCCACTCTACAAGGGGAAAATAAACCAGAGGCTAAAAGAAAAGTGAATTTGCAGGATTCTTTACTCTTCCTGAAGATTTAAGAACCGCACCATGACACCCCCATGAATTCCACCACCCTATCACCAGCCAAGCAAAGGTTAAATCGTTACTTAGAGTTCACTAAGCTTAAATAAGTTTAATTGTTTTCACTTATGTTAGCAACAACCATCTTTACAAGCTTCTCTTTGTACCAGTGATGCTCTGCCCCTCAGCGCCTTAGTTCAGGACTCTCAGAAAGCAAGTTAAACAAAAAGTTAAAAATGAAACAAAAAACAAACCTTTTTTTGGAGAAGGAAACGGGTGTGAAGGCACACAACACGATTCAGTCAACGACCAGGAACCTGTCATCGGGAGAACGGGGAAAGAGGTCTCTGCGCTCTAGACTGTAATATGCAGCAAGATATACTGGCTAAAATACCACGTGTTTGAAAGGAAAACTGCTCAAACCTACTTTGCGAGTTCTCCAGACACATGGGTGAAGACCATTTATTACCTTGAGTTAACTGTGAAAGATTAGAATTTAATACAAGATCCATTCAACCCAGGAGTCAGTCCTCTGAAGAGTCTCCTAACACCCTCATGAAGGGAGCCAGCAAACTTTGCATTGCGCCCTGAGGGCTGATAAGCTTCGTCCTTGGAAGGGAAAGTTCTTAAATTAAAGGGTCTTGGCTAAGAACTCTGTTGAATGCAAAACTGAGGACACAAGGAAAAAACACCCACTGTGCCCAAGGATGCCCCATGCACATCCCCTCGAGCTGCTAAGACCTGAACTCTCTAGTCTGGAGACCAGGCTTTACATTCACTACATTGCTCCTGAAAAGGAACAAATGTTACTAAAGAACCCCAACGGTGGGTGTCTCTGATCCTGAAGACCCAAACCTGGTAGGCAGCCAGCAGTAGCCTCCAAGACATCTTCCAAATTAGCCCTGCCAGAAGAACATGTTACGCAGCTATCGCAGATAAATGACACCCTGTCCCCTGCCAAGGCAGAGGTGGAGAAACTCCTCAGGCCACCAACACTGTATGTTTTAATCAAATGTCCAACGAGTTGATTTCTTGATATGCAAATTACACACTAAATTACCTCAGCTTCATTCCATGCCTTATGGACTGTGAAGAGGCAAGTGCAGTCAGTCTAGAATTCCTGTGCGTTGTTCAGGAAAATCCTAGGATGAGCAGCAGCTGCCTAACTCTCTAGTTTTCTCCAAGAGGAAAGAGCAAAACTACTGAAGCACACTTGTATCCCTGGCACAACAAAATCCAGTATCACAATAACAAAAAAAACCCAACCCAAACCCCAAAACCCTCTATCACACAGTCACAGTAGACTGAAAATACAACCCTATATAATCAGGCAAGGCACCTCAACAGTGTCCCTTATTGGGAAGAACTAGAAACAAGCAATGACAACAAAACAATTCCATTGCCATGCCATGCCATGCCAAACCCCAGGGCTGGATATGAAAGACCATTTTGACCATAGGGGTTTCTCAAAAAACTGTACACAAAACATCAAGTTGGAGGTGTAATAGGTAAAACTTTTCATATTACAAGGAGGTTTTTTTTCCAACAAAGACCAAGTAAATACTCCTTTAAAGGAAAGCAAGGTATTGCTTTTGTTTAAGAAGGACCTCAAGAACAAGTAGATCTGGTAACCTTCAATATGACTTCATCACTTAAAGTTGTGGTTCAAACCAATTGCTTTTCCAGAGGCCTGCAAGGCAGTGAGAATACAGGAATCGGTGGTCTCCTCCCAGCTGTTCAGTGCATGACCCAAGAGAGACATCCAAGCAAGTCCAAACCTTGCAAAATATATTCCAAGTCACATGAGAATCACATGAGTCCCACCAGCTGCTCTAAGAACTGGGCTCCAAACTACACTTCAGACCTTTGAAAAATCCCCAAAGAATTCCCCACAGTGACACACTTAACAGAACACAGGTCCACAAAACCTGAAGTTTTTGAACGGAGCAGGATTTCAGAGAAGCTTTAGTTTAAGAGAAGAAACCTTCTTCTACAAGCACAACAATTTCCTCCATTAGTGATCATATACACCTCAAATCTATCACCAGTCTCTGTGCCTTTGATGACCTTTGGTCACTACAGCCATCAGGATGATCACACTTAGCCTCTTCAGAACTACAGCTAAAAAAAAAAAAAAAGCATTCCTCCAGCTAGAAGAAGCCAAGAGAAGAAAATCTACTGAAATACCTGCATTTACCAGCCTGCCTGACCACATGGAAATTATTTTATACATTTAAAAATAAAAATTCTTTTTTTAAATCACTGTTACTGCTGAGCTGGCATTACAGATGTAGAGGAACCAGATTAGAGTGTCCCGAGGCCAGCATCACACATGACAACTTCAGGGCCAGCTGAAAAGCATGCTAGCCAGATGCAAAACCATTAACAGTCATTAAAAAAAAAAATCATCTTCATCTTGCAAATTTGGAGCAGAGATAATTAATTCCAGTTCTCCTTGACAGGAGAAGGGTTTTCCCCCTTTACTATGCTGCATTTGCACGGCCAACAGAGAACTGTGTCCACATGACATGATGTTCACTCACCTTTAAGTGTCCTCACATGAACCGGCAGGTCACTCTTTGTACTGTACACATCATCTCCTGAAGACTGGCGTCTCATCAAGCTTGGGTCGTTCTGGACAAGCCAGTCAGCCACTTTGCTCTCTGCTGACATCACTTCTGTATGAGCTGGTTCCTTACTGTACGGTCTTCTCTGTCTGAGCGAAAATTTAGTTACGTGGTCTTTTATCTTTATTTTACCGGGGGTACCATCATCAAATTCAATGGTGAAAGAGGCATGACTTTGTACAACAGGGGCTACGACAGCATCAACATCCTTTGTGGGGATCTCATGGACCTGTGCTTCTGGAGATTTTGATGGCTGCTGAAATTCTTTAGTTGGAATCTCAAAGTAACTTGGCTCTCTCCGGAAGCCAAACACCGACTGTTCTTGGGCATCTCTATAAGCCGAAATATTACCATTCAGTTCCTCTTCATGTTGGGTTATCTCTTTTGATCTTTCTAGAAAAGGGGAAAAAAAAAATAAAAAGGCAAGAAGATCTTAAAGCTCACAAACGTTTCACTGAAACGGATTAAAGAAAACATCCAAGTTCTGTTTGAGATAGCTTTGTACTCTGGTCTCATCACTGAAATCAGTGTTTACTTATTATTTTCACTTTGTCCTTTCTTCCATTGCTCCCCAAAGTGAGATGCTGAGCACACACATACATTTTATTTTGACAGAACCTATGGGGCTGGTGGCATTTTAAAGTAATTTGCATGTGCAAAGCTAATCACAGGCACAGATTTGCTGAAGCAATACTCAATTCTGTAACATCACCAAGGATAAAGTCACATTTTTTCCCAATAGTACTCAAACTTCTTGGCTAGAGGGTCACTTATTTATTTTGATCTCTTGGGAGGGCTGCTAATCACAGCCCTTCTCTGCTACAGAACATATACAATGCACATGCACTGAAATAAAACACTTCTTTGTGCAGTTTATAAAGCACGTTTGATAGAAACATCATGTTTACTGCACAAGTGAAAAAAGATGTATCTTTCACGCATACAGATTCACAACAACAGGAGTGGTAAGATTAAATTGTTTCCAAGGATGACAAGGTGAGAAACAGATTGCTTCCACATCAATCACATCCTGTCAATGCATCAGCTCTCCAGGGACTTCTTAGATAGGAAACTCCTGGGAGACACAGCGGATGATTTATTCAGGTGGGCTGCGTACAACCACAGACAAAGCACTGCTATATAATTCACTCTCAAACAACCTTAGAGAGAGCTTTCTCATCCATACCAAATCATTCCATAACTGCTGTTTCTAATGTTGAAATATTTTAGGGGAAACATTTTAGTTTTCCCTTATTCTGTTTTCACCAGCAGCAATCTAAACATAGAAATGTGCAGTAGGAGCGCAGCAAAAGTGGTAATTAAAGCCTTGAAGAAGGGTGGCTTCACACAGTAAAGATCAAAAGTGCACAGAAATTTTGTCATGTCCCCCCCATCTTCTCCCACCCCAAATCACCTCCATTACCTGAGTAATGTTCCTCTTGTCTTCTGTCCTCCTTGTTATTGGCATCATCTTCCCCCCACCAGGAGGGCTGCCCATACAGAGGGGTGCGGTAAGTATTGGTTTCTAGGAAGAAGAAAGCAAATAAATTGATATTTTCTGTCTCAAAGTATCGGGTTCACAGAAGGCAATCACATGCCAAAAAGGGAAAAACAGCAGGGTCAGATGAGATCATGTATCTGTGACACTGCAGTTATAATAACAGCAAATGATACATAACAATGAATATGTTCAGGCTTTTCTTTTTTTCCTCCCTTTTTTACTTTTTTACATTCTTTTGCAAGATGCTGACTCCACCTCCCTTTGCTGTCCTTCCCGAATACTGGCTTTTCTCCCTCTGTAGCCTCATTATTCACAGGAAGCGGAAGCTTTTTGGCAGGACAGACTGCAAATCACTAACCACAAAATTGTATTCAACTCACCTGCCATTCAGGTGAAAATCAGGCTTTTGTCCTTCCCTGAACTGGAAAGACTTTAGCTTTGCCCTTTCTCGCCCCACCATGTACTGGGATGTTGGGAAGCCAGGGGTTTTTTTTTCCAAACTATTCACCACTCTCACTCGAAATGACACACATCCCACAACAGGAAATTCTTGAAGCATTACAAATTTAGGGAAAATGGTAAAACCACCTCCTTACACGCACATAAAGAACTAGTAAACTCTAAAGCTTAAAGTAAACCAAGTGGATCCCAGAGTCACTGCAGGAAAGAGGTTTTTCTGATGGAGAAGCTTACTCTAGAAAAGCCAAACTTCCATCATTTTCTCTGCTCAGTGAGTGCTCACTGGAAGATCAGGGCTTCGCTGCAACAACTGGTACCCAAAGGAGCTGATCCACTGCTTCTCCTTTTGTCTCCCACAGAACAAGATTGTGTTTTGGCAGTGCCTTGGGCTGCTGCTGTTTATGCAACAAGTAAAAAGAATACACCTCCATTTAGCTGTGGTATAGTTATTATTATTATGTTTTTATATTAGTTGAAGAGAAGCAAATAAAGTAGCTTTTGTTCTTTCATCTCGAGGTGATAGAGACATAAGGATAGGTCAGGGGCTGAGGTTAAGCTCCAGCTTTGTCAGCTGCTTCTGCCTCCACCTCCACCAGCCATCAGCACACACTTTACCTGCCACGTCTTGAACCCTGGCTCCAGCTACAGAGCCATGGCCGGGCTCCTACCGCTCGCCCAGATTGTGGTTTTCAAGCCACACACTGCTCTGTGTAAAGCAGCCCTCAAACAGCCCTGCAATTTTGCATTCCCTACTTTAATAGAGACATGACAGAAAGCAGTCGTTAGCATAAGGGAAGCCAGGAGAGGAAGAGGAATTAAATAATTCAAAGAGGAAAAAAAAAAAAAAAAAAAGAGGGCTGATTTTATGCTGCTGTTTCTAAAGCAACACAGACCCAATGGCCACAGCTTCAGATGTTTTTTTCTAGAACAGTTCCAGAGATATATAAGCTTATACACTGACAGGCCACAGGCAAAAATTGTGCTCTACAGATGCAGCCCACAGGCCCTTTTCAAGAGATCTTCTCCGTGTTTCAAAATCAACCGCGTTGCCTCCCTTCACAGCGAGGATCAAAAGAGGCTGAAAGTATTACTCTCCTTTCTGCCTAGAGTGCGTGGAAGATAAACTGTGTTCCCATTATGTAGGCGGCCTTTGAAAGTTCAAAGGAGGAAGCATTTCTCACCGTGAATAAATTGGAATTGCCAGGCAATATGTTTCATAACCGAGGACGGGTAAACCACTCAAGGGAGAGAGGAATGGAAAAAGAAAAAAAAAGGAAGAAAAAAAAAAGAAAAAAACCTATTCACAAGCTTGTCAATGAACAGAGGTACCCAGATGTAGGGTTTGATCTCTGCTAGGCTGAGCCCTTCTGTCACACAGCCTACAGAAACCTGCCACCCTCTCTTTGTGCCACAACTTGCCCACTAGACCCCCAGCCACACAGGATCTGCTCTACCAACACCAAGTGCTTCTCTTGGGCACGTGCTGCAATGGATTATCACCCTCTGAAGTCAGTATTGATCTCAGGGTTGGATGGCCAATGGCTGGGAGAAGGAGAACACCACTCCAGCTATGTCTAGGGTAACTCATGCCTAAAGGTCAATGGGGCACAGCAAGGGGCTCAGCCCTGAAGAAACACGTGAGATTTTGGACACTTGTCTCAGATTGATAAAATCAATTATGAAAGCTCATCAGTGGCTTATTTAAAGTTGCTGGTGGGACACACTCTGAGCATACTACTCTACAGATGAAACGCAAAGACCATCTCGCACTTGATTTTTGCACAAGCAGCACCTTTCCCAAGCATGGGTGCTGTTATCTCCTGCACCTTGCAAGGGGTCACCTCGTTACAGATCCTCTCTCCAGCACATCCCAGCCCCTCACTGGATCCCAAAGGCCCCCTAATCTAGAAGATCCTAGTTACCTGTTCCAAGAAAATTTTGTTTCCAAAAGAGCAGAAATGTGCTAAGAGAGCTCACATCCATCCTGCAGGACAGAAAATTCCCAGAAGCTGCTCCAGCCCCAAGATCTGTGTCCCACCTTCACGCTGAACACAGGAGCTACTGCCTTTGTCCCCTAGGAGGTTTTCTACTACAGGGTAAAGGCAGCCAGGGGAGCACATCCACCTTGGTCAATCTTTTTCCGTTGACAGGGAACTTTGGGATTGCATGGAAAGATGAAGGAGAAAAAGGGGATTTATAAAGAATAATAAGGCAGCTCCTTCTCCAATTTCCGCCTCTACCCTAAAGAGCTGTAATAAGTGCTTGGAAATTCCCCAAATTCCCCCTCAGACAAAAGCTAGCACAAAGCCAAAACCCCAGGGCATGTCAAGGAGCACCTACACAGAAGGCATCAGGTTGGGCAGAGCGCACAGACCTGGGGCCACCAGGGTGAGAGCTGCTCCATTGCCCTCACTGCATGGTGGCAGGAGGTCCCTCCTGCCCCGTGGCACAGAGCTCCCGTGGCCCCACCTGTACCACCCTGGTACACGTGTGTAACACATCTGCTCACTTCTGTGGGGCTTTTTTTTTTTTCATTCCTTCCCTCTCCCAGCCTCCACAATAACTGGAATTTCATTTGAAAGACCACAAAAAGCATAGCTAGGAAGCTGAGGAGTCAGTATCTTGCTATCTGGGGACACTTTCAATATTTTAAGAGCCATTAATGTTTCCACTGAGCCTTTGTATTAATTTGCATTTTGAATAACATTATCAAGTGACACAGACACCCTCATTCTGAGCTACTGCTGAAAGTGGCCAGATCCTGAGCCAGAGTAAAATTTCCCTGACTTGAGCAGGGCAGCAAATTCATGTAGCTCTTCTCGTGTCAGAAGCTTCTGCCCCTTCTAATTTTCCAGCACAACGGACCTGACACCTCTCCCCGCTCCAGCTCTAACGCAACAATATTGTATAAAAAAGGGGGAGAAAGGGGAGGAAAAAGCGCGATAGGAAGGCAGCTAAACCAGATGGCTGTGACAGAAGTGGGCCAGGGAGCAGCTCCATATGCAGTTGTGCCAGGGGGGGCTTTGCTCTTCACCAGCTGGGATGTGTTTTGTGGAGCGACCTCAACCCGGACCTGCAGCATCCAAAGCTGTGCATCTGCCTGCATCCCCAGACACGCATCCCACGCTGAACCCACTGCCTGGCTGCTATATTTTAGTGTAAGGTGGAAGCTCCTGCAAGAGCAGAGAGACTCGGGGGCTTGCCCAAGTCAGCGGTGAATCAAGGAGCACCGAAGGAAACCAACTGCTCAGTCATTTTAATGACGTGAGACTTCCTCCAATTCATGGCAGCTCGTTACCACCTCTCCCCGCTCCAGTGCCAGGCTGCCCAGATGGTGCCAATTCATTTAGACATATTTCTTGGCTCATCAATTCAGGCAGACGGCCTGAAAACCATCCTTTTAGATAACTGAATTGAGGTCAGCGCAAGCAGTCAGCCAGACAAACACTGAGCTATCCGTGAGGGTGTAATACAGGGAAGACCACTGACATGGACACGTTCTGCTCCTGGATTTCAGCCTTTGGGGCAGCCACTCAGAAGGGAAAATGAAGGCTGGTTTAGGGCAGAACAAGGAAGGTCCATTTGTTTAACAAGTCTGACAATGACGTGGCCAGTTAAATTAATACAGACCTATTGATCACCTGAAGGAGAGGCACCACAACAAGAGAAAGCGAGACATGTCAATACAAAGGATATATTTATGAAGGAGTGAATCAGACAGAACAACACGAGGGCAGGACCAAAAAATACAGTCCAGGTGATGAAAGGGAAAAAGCCTGTGTTATTGCTGCTTTCTGTCAGCGAGTGGGCAGAAAAGCTTTCATGACCAGCACGAAGCTTCTGCTGCAGGGGAGCCTGATTCTCCTTGAAGGTGTCCCCTGTGGTCAGGACAGGGCTGAGCTTCACCCAGATGCTCACAAAGGTTCAAACCATCACGAGAGAGACACACAGAGACAGCAAGGCAGATCTCTTTGCTGACAGAAGCACACACAGCTTTGAAGCTGTCTACAGCAAGTCATAACAAAAGCATGAGAAATCCAGCTTGCTTCAAGTCAAATCATTTGATTCATTATTAATAACAATAATGTCCATCTTCAGAAGATGCAGAGTAGGCTTCTTACGGCAGGGGCCTTGGGGAAGAAAACGATGATCTAGCTAAAACATTCTAAAATTAATTCCTTACATCTCTGCTTTTTAACTCCTTTCCAAAATAGAGAATTCAGACCTAGTAGAAATAGCGATAAAGCAATTCTCTGACTCCTTGCTGCAGCATTTCTTTCACATGTGCATGGCAAACCTAAGCCCTAGTCTTTTGTGCCTGCTGTGAACATACACAGATCTCGGAGGTTTTCAAATCAGGCTCATAATCACAAATTTATTTGTATTAATTACATGGTCAAACCTTTAACATACTGCAGATACCACCACCCTAGCTCAGACAAAAAGCAGATATACCACCACCACTCCCTTAAATTAAAGGCTAGGGTAGAGCTGTGTGTCTAAATAGCTATTACCATGATCTCATGGGGAAAGCAGCCAAAGACCATGGAAACCACTCCACAAACTGGGCACAACTCCCACTGCCTCCGTCCACCCTGCCTGCTGACCTCAGCCCCAGGCACCAACAAGACTTTCAAGTCAGGCACTGCGTTCAGAGGACTCCCCTAATGACGCAGACACCCTACTGGTGAGAAAGCCCATTTCACAGATCCCAAGAGAAGCTCGAGTCCTGCTCCTGCAGCCGGTGATGCCCATTTCAACCGGACACTGCAGGCAGCTTCCACCCCTGGAAACTCAGGCCCGCAGCAGTTATTCAGAGTTACTCATCAGATTCAGCATTATCTAGTGCCATCAGCCTGGGAGGGCTTTAAAAAAAAAATTAAATAATAAAGTAAGATCAGCCTGAGGATTAACTATGTGTTGAGAACAGAAGACCACAAAGTAGCTTATCTCCTCCAGTACCTCAACTCAGGTAGCAACAGATGGGGATTGTGACAGTCTTAAAATCTGCTCAGTCCAAGGCAGTACCTGGCCTTCTGATCGTTTAAGTCTTTAAACATGAGAGTGGATGGCTATTTTTAGCATTAACTACCTGAACTGTGGGTACTTTTCTTATTCATATCTATATTCAAACCACAGGGCTTACCAAGCTACTTGCCTCAAACATTTCACAAAGACTGATGATTTTCTGCTTACAGGCAACATACACCCAAAAGCTGCAAGTTCAACGGCACAAAGAGTAAAAGGCTGAGCTGTTTCCCATTCCCTCTGCTGGATCTCTTTAGCCTCAGCCCCTCACCTCCTCCCATTTCTAAGCAGCTCTAATTGTTCACATTGTTTTGTTAAACCTCTTTTCCTGAAAGCTTGCATTCCCTCTGCCTCTTTTCCACCAGGGCCCTGGGAAGCGATCCTTCTAAAGGCTTTTGTCGCCCCAGACCTTGCTTTAATTAGTCAATGCAAATTCCTAAATACCTACGGGCTTAGCAAAACAGCTCTCTCCCCCAAGCCTCTTTCTGCTGCCACTAAGCAAGCCCACTCCCCGTAAGAATACTACATTCTTCTTTCCACTAATCATTTTAAATTGCTGCCACTCCTCTGAGCAGCCAAGGAGAAACTGTGCATGTGTGCAGCTGCAGACAAGGTGAATTAGTCACATCGCAGATGAAAAAGGGACCTACTGATCATTCTGCTCACGTGACAGAGATGCTTTTTGGAGAGCCAGGCGCTGATTTAACACTCAGTCTCCCTTCTCTTGCTTCCACACGCTTCAATCCAACCCAGCAAAACACTTCCAACAAAAAGTCCCAAGTTCCTCCATCCTCCATCTTTCAGTGAGTTTGGGAGCACTTCATAGATATTTCTTTTTTTCATATCTGTCCATCAGTCCCACTGCACTGGCCCCCGATAAGTACTCACAGCCCTTTTTGCCTTAGACCTACAGCCCGTGCCCGCTAACGATGCCCAGAAACATAATGCAGGTCTGCGAACCACACGCCACAGAAATGGGTCACCTTGCTCAAGAGTCACTCAACAGTCTGACTTTGAAGATGTTCCAAATATCAGCCGCTTACACTATGTAGGTTAAAACCAACCGGGGTGTATTTTGAAAGGTGGCAAGAATAAAAACGAGAATGTTCGTGAGATCAGGCAGCAAACGCAAACTGGTTCCAATTACTGGCAAACTGGCCCAGTTACTGGCAATGCTTTTCAAGAACCTCATGCCCCTTGCAATGCAGCTGGAGAGCTCTCCCCCCAGTGAGGTTCACCTCCTCTCACCCTCTTCCATGTCATGGTTAATCATCACCAGCTTCATCCCTTTAACTGAGGCAAAGTCACAAACGCTGCACCCATGGGGGAGGGCGACACACACAAACACAGCTAAAGCAACACAAAGAAAGGTTTTTTGGTGGGGAGAAATGGGAGTTGGGGAGGTGGGTGCGTGTGCATGTGCTTCCACACACAACTGGAGGCGTTGACAATACCGGGGAGAAAAACTACAGCATGTTTTAGTACAGTGTGTCAGCTTAGAGGGATTTTCATGAAGACAATACATGGGAGATTAAGGTCAGCCAACCCACTCCAATTAGTTATCAGGAAACCTTAACGGATTTACCCGGAGTTGCACACATTTCTAGAAAGCCGCTGTATCTACCTCTAGGTCACCTCACCCAAAATGATGTCTCACTCTTCTACTTGCTTATCCTCTTCCCTCCATTCACTCCACACAGTGGGCAGTCTCTCTGCTAACCCTAAAGCCTTCCAACAGCCCTCCCATCCCAGTGCCACAAGACCACCACTGGCAGTCATCCGTCACTGGGATCCTTCAAAACCAGATTTGTTCCTCCCGTGCAACATCAAGCTCTAGAAGGCCACCAACTGACACCTGAGCAGAACTATGGCAGTACATACCGGAGATAAGGAATTGGGTGAGACACGACAGGAGATTTTCGGGCATTGGAATAGGCTGCCCAGGGAGGTGGTTGAGTCACCATCCCTGGATGTGTTTAAGGGACGTTTAGATGCGGGACTGAGGGACATGGTGTAGGGGAGAACTTTGTAGAGTAGGGGAGATGGTTGGACTTGATGATCCCGAGGGTCTCTTCCAACCTCAATGATTCTATGATTCTATGACTGTTGGGAAGGTCTTAGCCCACCATGATGGGGAATGGGGAAGAAGCAAGTTTGACAAAGGGTCTTTAAAGGAGGGCAGCAGTGGGTAAAGAAATGGAGAATGGAAGGAATTTTTCAAATGGAAAAGGTTTGGAGCTGAGGAACAGTGAACCTGAAGCAAACATCTCCCAGTTTGGCAGTCAGTTTCAATCTCACATATCAGAACTTTAGGAAATACAGACATTTAAGACCATACAGGGCTTTTTGAAAGAAATGGCTTATTGCTTCTTTGCCTGCCAGCACCACACCACAGCAGCCACACATTTTCTACTCTGAGTCACCATCTCCGTTCAAACACCAACTCTTGATTAGGAAATTAAAAATAGACCAGACAAGTGCCAAAGAACTTCCCAAACCTGCTCAGCCTACAGGTTCTCCAGCACACACACAGCGACAAGCCATGTGTGAGCCATCACACCAGCTAATTTTTTTTTTGGAGTCTGAATCTCCAAAAAATGAGAGTCTGGAATAGTCAGAGGTTTAGAAAAATGACCTGCTCAAAATGGAACTGCTCCTGGATGCAACCCACAATACTGTGTTGTCAGAATCATGACCTAGCGCAGGGCTCGAGCGGCACTTAGTTCTGAATCTTGATTAACTGGTTCCCCAGCAAGTACCTGTAATTGCTTTCCTCTCTCCTTTCTCCAGCTTTGCTTGTGGGGACTCGGTGTAGACTCCGTGCTCCATGGGCTGCTCCGCCCTCTTCATGGCCGTGCCCTTGTAATTCATCTGAAGTTGGCTGGTGTACTTCTCATGCTGCAGAGACACAAGTAACAGTTGCAGGATGCCCGTGCCACCTTTGTGCCAGCCCGTGGAAAAGGGAAACCACCCTTCCCCACAAAGACTGGATCATGCCAAGGCTAATACTGCAGCTACAGAACGCAGCAAAAAGGAACCACACCTCAGTAGAATTGTAGGTTCATGGAATGGTTTGAGTTGGAAGGGACGTTAAACCCCATCCGGTTCCATCCTGCCCTGGGCAAGGACACCTCCCACCAGACCAGGTTGCTCAAAGCCCCATCCAGCCTGGCCTTGAACCCCTCCAGGGATGGGGCAGCCACAGCTTCTCTGGGCAATCTGTTCCAGTGTCTCACCACCCTCACAGGAAAGAATTTCTTCCTGAGATCTGATCTAAATCTCCCCTCTTTCAGTTTAAAACCATTCCCCCTCGTCCTATCGCTACACTCCCTGATCAAGAGTCCCCCCCATCTCTCCTGTAGGCCCTTTTAAATACTGGAAGGGGCTATATGGTCTCCCTGGAGCCTTCTCTTCTCCAGGCTGAACAACCCCTACTCTCTCAGCCCGTCTTCCATAGAGGCTACAGAACAGCAGAAATACCAGTTGAGAGGCTTTCAAATACCCCACTTGGAAGGTATTAGGTGGCAATTCTAGTCCATGAGAAGGTCACTGTGACTTAGCTCTGCAAAATAGCTATTTAGGAAACCCTTTAAAGAATAAACTGAGAAGAATCAGAACTTAGGCCATTTTCCATTCAAAATTCAGATCCTGAAATCCCCTTTGTTCTTAAAGCAACATTATAAATTCTTTCAGGGCACTTATCTGCATTATCTCAGTTCTTCAGCAAAGGCAATTAAAATACATTTTAATTATTTCTCTCCAAACCCTCTTGCCAGCTAGGAAAGTGATTCTGCCTTAAAACAGGCTCCACATTAATATAGTAAATGAGCTATTTAAAAGTCGGTTTTTTACAAGTAAATTAATAAAAGGGTGTAGCCATCCAGATTACCCCTGAGTAACTTCAATGAATTATTTGCCTAATTCTAGCTGTTACATTTCTGAACCTCTCCAAGTCCTAAACATGGAATCAGGGCTAAGAAGCCAGTATCTGCTGGCCACAGGGTGATGCTTGGCACTGGTAGCCCAGTCCCTAACTGAACAGGACAGCTTTCTTGCCTAGAGGGGGTTGCTTTTCTGCATTAGGCAAAAGGATGCTTGACTATTTCATACCTGCTACAGAACTCTTTGTTTAAAAAACACCTCACTCATAAGAGGACTACTCAGTAAGTAAAAACTGGGAGCTTGAAGGCAAAAATGAGATGATATACAGGAATAAATTAAGCAAACTTGGGCTCCTGGAGGAAGTGTGATGGAGCTGGCCTAAGTCACCACACTTGGAAAAAGTCATCTGTGCTCCACTTCTGGGAGGGAACAGGCTCTGCTGTGCTTCACCCACAAGTTAATGTGCTGACTGTTCGTTAATACAATACAGCTTTAGTAACCTTTTTTTGTTGGCAGTCATGAAATGATAAATAACTTCATCTACGTGTTAGCACAGGGACAGGAGAGATCAGAGCTGAGATAACTGGGAAACGTAGCTCTCCTCAAAGGAAGTTTTTATTAAGCCCCAATCCAAGGAGAGCTTCACATTGTGGAACATTTCACTGCTGTCAAGAGGATTTGAATATTTCAGTTTGCTTGACTCGAGCACTTAATTTTTTTTTTTTAAAATGCACCTACACACAGACACTCTTACCTTTAATGCTTCTTCTGGGACTTTGTGTTGGATTTGTTCCAGGACATACATGTTTGAATGTACAGAACTCGTTAAGGAAATGGCAAAGGAATTGGATGGACAGAGAAATCCAGCACTTAGTCACGGAAAGAAAACAAGACCATAAAACCAGATAATCTTAAAATATGCAGGGTATTAAAAGCTGAGTGCAATGTATCCCACCATGGTGTGCAGTCACACCTGCTGGCCAGCCCCACGCCAAGTGAAGGGGAGACAAGGGGAGCAGGGCAGGAGAAATTTTGGGGGGGACACTAGCAGCTCCATGCAGGACCCAGGGAAGCAACCAGAGCCCTGGCTCAACTCACATCCCACTCCTCTCCACCCAGCTGGCATCTCCAGGGAGACCACTCTCTTCCCATGGTATCCTGGCCAAGATGGGGCTGGGACTGTGGTGTTCTCTCACCCTGACAAGGCTTTTCAGTCCCTGCAGTTTCATGGATGATAAGTAAATCAGGTCATGAGCCGGCATGACCTCCTAAGGAAGGGAGGCATCAACACGGTTGAGCCTAGGCAATAATCCTCAGCAACGCCACGATAAAAAAAAAAAAAAAAAAAAAAGGAAGCATCTGGCAATGTCATCATGATCATCATGACCAATCCAATCAGCACAGAGCAAAGGGGAGGAAAAAGGAAAGATGGAAAATGTTAGACTAAAAATAAACCAAGGGAAACGCTGCACAGTCTCTGCAAGAGAAACTGTAAATGGAAGAGAGACAGACGCTCTGATGGAACAGCCAGAGCTGGCCCAGAGAGCTCAGGAGATGCTGCTGAACACACCAAGCTGGGCACGGCATGCACAGAAAGCACTGCTAGAAAGAGTGGCACCGAAAAAGCAAAGGAAAGGAAGGGATTGTAACTGCCATAGCAACTACAGTGAAGTAAAGAGATGGCTCTGAAACCTATGTTCTTTCTAGTTTCCCTGTTGAGGGCAACAGATTCTGCAATTCATAAAAGCAATCATTCATTTCACATGAATATCCATGTAAGGGCTGCAGGACTAAACACTTCAACTTGGCTGCTTAGCACTCAGAATTGCTGTCTATAAACAGTTTAAACCTGTATCGCAGCCATTAAAGCCTACCCACGCTCTAGGCACGGGCTGATGCCTCTGCTAGACTGGAGTTCACAGCACATCTTCTGCAAGTTTCCCCATAAATCTAGAGACCAGAAGATACATGACCAGCTACACCAAAAAAACCCATTTGCAAAGTCAAGAAAAGCTAGAACTGAGGTTGCCTAAGGGACTGTAACAGGCACCATCACGTGTGTGCTGAGATGCCATCATTAATGGCATGATCTCAGGTGACAGCACTCTTTTATTGGGCAGCACTTAGTAAGGGGCTACTCAGGAGTTGTTTAATTTCCACTCCCCCCCATCTATGCCTGAACACTCATCAACTGCACCCTGTTCAAATATTGCTCTGAAAGCAAATAATCTGTCTTGTTTTTTCTTTTGGAAAAAAAAATAAATTCAGAAAAATTCAAAAAAATGAAAAATAAGTACTACTGTGAAGCAAGAATTTGTTATTTCTAAATTGGCAAGAGACACAGTGGGACCGAGACCAAAAGTATGATCCCACAAAAGGCCTAGAAAACCCTCTGTTCCAGCAGGTCCATGATCACACACACATCAGTTTAAGCATCCCTCTTGCAACAGCGAGTGCTCCCGTACTGTCACTGCCTAGATTGGAGGTCCCCAGATCTCTGGAAGACCTGGGAGGCTCAGCCTCTCCTCACTGTTCCAGCTCCCCGGGCTCCAGCAAGGTTTAGAGTATTTCAAGGGCTATAGCATGGCCAAGCACAAACCGATTATCATTGGGACAACAAAAGGCAAAAGAATGTGGCCTTGGGTTCAAGGATGCACAGGAGTTTTCCAGCCAAACACTTCCTCCCCCTCAAACAGTGAAACTTAGTTTCTGCCTCTATTCTCAGAAACGTCTGGACTGTTTTAACTGAAATATCCCCACAAAAGAAAGAAGAAACCTAGAGAAGACGCTGACTACTTCCAAATTCAGCCTGAGTGGGTAAAGTTTGGCAGATAGAAGCAATGGGGAAAAATGTAAAAAAAAAATAAAAATTAGATTACATAAAAAGGCAGCAACCAGAGCCTCTACTTACCACTATTGCTCTGCAGCCTCAGAAAGGCATTCCAACATCTACGGGGCATTACAGCGAGTCATACAGTCATGTCAGGATAAAAAGGAAAGGGATGAAGGCAAAGGTGGTTTAGCAGATCCTAGCAGGATTTGTCACTCTGAACAAAGCAGTAACTGCAGCCCAGCATCCCTCAGCGATGAATTTTGGTATGGCTAAACAGAGATTTACTCTTAACATTTTGTGGCAGAAGCAATTTGCGCTGGCAAACTTCAATCGATACAGAGTCAAGGGACTGCCCACAAGCCCCAAAGCTAAATGTTTAAGGCTAGAGACATACAAATGGTCTGAAAGCAAGCATTTGGGTGAAATGATTAATCAAACCACACAAGTTGGATTAAAAAAAAAAATAAAAATATATTAGTTCATATAAAAGCATATGAAATATGTTTGCTCCCTGGCTAGTACCAGCTACAGTTGCCAAAGAAGCCGGATTCAGATGCCAATGAAGGTAGCAGGCATCATGATTAATATGCTCTGAATCAGGTCCGTGGTGGAGAAACAAAAGCTTATGAGCCATCCAAAGGCTCCAGAAGGCAAAACAAACACCCTTATTCATTAGTCCCAATTAGCACTGTTAACTCTCCATGCAGCAAACAGCACAAAAGCCAATCAAAGACCACATCCCACTCCCTCTCCAGACGAGAAGGATATCATAGCCGAAGCGAATGACATCGTTGAGTTTCAGGGTGATGTACTTCTGGTCAGGAATCCTCACGTCATTGACGAACGTCTGCAGGAAAATAAGCACAGCAATGGTTTTTGACTGAGGATATCACGGTGATGCATCTCAGATGGGCTCCTGGCAGGCACCCATGCCCATCTGTAAAGGCACTGCAGATATTCAGGGTGCACCAACACAAAATCATCCAGGCCAGGAGCTAAGTTGTCTAGAAAAATCAACATGGGCAAGAAGCTCCCATGGGCAAGTTCGAGCACACCAATTATGCTTCAAAGCAAAGTGCTCTGAAGGGGCCTCTAGGGAGATCTACATTTCCACCAACTGCAAATAAAATTTTAGTCCCCGACTTGAACATGTAAATGACATGCCTGAAGTTAAGAACTTCAGGTGCTCTCAGTTCTCCTCCATCCTTCACAACCAGCCAAATGGTACGACTCACACTCCAGTTACTAAGCTGGGAATCAGCTTTCCACTGGAAGTCAAACGAGACTGGTGTCAGCCCCAAGGCCTGATAATTTAACAAGCAAAGCCTATCCCAGAGGAAGGGGGAAATGAAAACACCCAGGAAACAAACACTGGCAGTGGCTTCACCATGATATCTGAGGCTACTCTGTCCAAGACATCATGTATCAGTAGTGCAACAGGCCCCTTGTGCAAAATATTCACCTACTTATTTTTTCTATGCTCCAGGCAGTTAATTGAGGCCCAAAGAAACTAAGTTATCCTTATAAAGGTGCAAGAAATGTACTTTATGGCTGTGAACAAACACCCTGGATGTCTCAGCTGCCTGCTTTCCGAGAGGACCCCCTAAGAAATAATTCTTGCAGAACAACGGAGAAAGAATTCATGCACTCATTGACATCTTTCACAAATAAACCCATGTACTTTTGCAATAACCCAGGGCAAATAAAAACAAATTAGAAACTCAGCTGAAGAAGCACCAGTGTGCTGATGGGGATGAGGCATTCAGTTGCACCTGGGGCAGTCACAGACACCAGGAGCTTCCCTGCCTCACAAGGGGGAATTCATCCAGCCTCACAGACCAGGAACCAGCTCCTGGGGCTTTGCAGCCTCAATACAAATCCAACTATGCTCTGATGAATCAAAATTATGCTAGAAAATGAATTTACATGCTTTCACCACTGAGGCACAGTCTTCTCCTTCTGCCTTTCCATCTCAGCCAAGTCAAACATGCATGATAAGACCAAGAATTAACCACAGGGGAAAAATAAATGCTAGAGGAGGAAATTAGAACCTCAGCAGACAGCAGCCCCCAGCTTCCTGGCAATTTACAGAAGAGCTGGGGAACAAGCCTGTAATTTCAGAATAAAAGCAGTAAACCTGGTTAAAAGGCACAGAATTCCTATTTGCATGATTTATTTTTTTTTAATATTTAGAAATCCCACAACAGTCAGATCTGGAAGAGGAATAATTATTTGCTGAATTTTCTGCAAAACAAAAGTCTGCAAGAAAATCTGTTTTAATGTTGTTACCTATTCATCCATGGTCACTTCAAATAAAATAGCACAAGGAAACTGCTTATTACAGATAGAAACACTACTTTCAAAACCAAACGGCCCATAATAGAGACTGCAGAATCAGCTGAACAATATAATAAAAACAATACAAAACTTCTGGGCAATGAATATGAACCAGTTTATCCAACAAAGCCATATAAAGCATTGTTAACAAGCCATAAAGTAAATACAAAATAAAAGCAAATTCTGAAAAGGGAATTAAACTCAAAGTCCTCAAAAATGATTTCTTTAGTTTCAGGGAGGAAAATAAGTTTTCATGAACATTTTCAAACAAGGACCTATGTTTCTTTCCTGCAAAATTAATTCATTTTGGCCACAAGAGTCTTCTCCAACAGAAGTGTGTTTGAGCAGCTGCAGAAGACAGGCCCTGCTGTAACTCCTTTCACTCCACTGCCCCGCTGAGCACAAGCCTATTATTAAAATTTGTAAATTCACATGCTTAACAAAGTGAAGACAGAAGAGTGATACAAACCTTCCCTCTCTTGCAAGAGATTTTTCAGCTGCTGTTTTGCTACCATGAGTTAAATACCACAGGTTTTGAATTGGGGATCCAGTTAGAGCCCAGACCAGTTACTGAAAATAGTCCTGTTTCAGCAGAGCTCTGTGCCTTTCAGCTACTAGGCTGAAAAGGATTAACACTCATTCTTGCTGTTTTCAGATGCCAGAAGAGGCAGAACCATTGAGGTCTGCTATAGCCAGTGGTTTTGTACAAGTTTCTGGGTTCGTTTTGTGGAGGGCTTCTGTTTCTAAACCCAAAACAGTTGGCTTAGAAATGACTGCAGTAAAACCCCTGCTGGGAAGACAATTATGAGAATCTAGATTAGATCTGCTCCAGCAGAGGAATAACTCTGCTGGTATGAAGAAACAGCCAAAAAAGAGGCATGTTAAGACATTAGGACAGTTTTAACTAAGATGGAGTATTTAAAAATCACAGAATTCAGGTGGGCAGACAAAGCCCTCACCAAGCTGCCTAACACCACTGCGTGAATTGGGACCAGAGCAGGAGTTAAGATTCAGGCAGACTCAGCTTCAACTCCCTGTTCTGAGCTCACATTATCCCCAAGTCTTCACACAAACCAGGCTCAAGGCAGGCAAAAGAGCAATTTTTCTTATTAAAAAAAAAAAGGGTGGTTTTCAATAGTTTCTCCCCAAAGAAATTAAACGTCTCATCATCCCATAAATCACACCATGCACTGACAATGAATTACCAAAAGGTCACCCTGCTCATTCTGAACAGCTGCTCCAGAATCTTCACCAGTTTAATGTTAACATCCCCAAAGTAAGATTGAATTCATTTCCTCCTCTTTTGCAAGAGGCTGGATGATTTTGAGAGCCCTGAAGCATTCTGCAAGGACCCCAGAAGAAAGGGAAAAAAGGAAATACAATATTCACCAAAGCTTTCCTCTTCTAAGATGACATGTTACATGATCTCCACTTTGGGCCTTGCAAATAATTACGTATGTTTAGCTTAACTCATGCCAACAGTTGCAGTGACCCAAAAGGGTCTAACAGCAGAAGGAAACAAGCTTTTGCAGACTCAGCATGCCTCCATCAGCCAGGAGGTTTGCTACTTACGCCGTTCAAGCTCCCGAGATCCTTCACCCAGTGCTCATCTTTCTCCTTGTCGTAGTTGATCACAGCGTGCTGCTTATCCACACTGCGGGACTGGGAAGGAAAAGCACAATGAATGTGAGACCAGTCAGGCATAAGAGACACTGTTAATCAAAGCAACATTCAGACATTAAACTAACTTGATATAAGGTAGGGGGAGAGAGGGGAAAAGCAGGAATGATTAAATATTATTTACTATTATAAATAACCGAATGATAAACAGGAAACGCTTCCACGGTTGTTTAAACATTTCACTGAACACAATACACCATTTGCATGGAGAGTGGAAAAAAAATAATAATAAATCACTGACAGCTGTCAAGACTACACTATAATTTCAATAAATTATATCAATACACATTGAAAACAAAACCAGTACAGCTGAAAGCCTGGGGGGCATGATCTCAGCCAGTGTAAACTAGAAGAGCTCCGTTTTTCACCAGCTGAAGCCGGTGGCCTCATCACTAGTGATATTCCCATTCGGGATATTTCTTCCTATTTTTCAAAGAGAAAAAAAACATTTTATTAAGTTACAACCCAAACTTATTCACAACAATGTATACTGTTCCCAGGATTATGTCCCAGAGTTGATTTAAACTCTAGGATGCTTTCCAAGTTGGAGGGAGGTTAGTAAACTTGGGATGAGAAAGAAAGCAGCTCTAAGAAAATTCAAATTTAAAGCCACATTTGAGAACACTGAAGTGGGCAGCGATTTGGTGCCACTGGCTTTGCCACAATGCACAAGTACCAAACGCAGCTTATCTTCAAAACAGAGTATGACACTTCAGCAGGAATAGTGTCAGACTTATGAGGAAGAAGTGTTAGAAAAAAAATCTCTGAATAATTTTGAAATATGGTGTGTTACGGCTATAAAGACACCCGACTGTCTGTTTTTAGACCTACTGCCTCTCATAACTTGAATTCTTGCTGCAGTTGACCTCAACCAGTCACTTGAACCGGTCACTCCATCAGCACGCACACACAAGAGAGACCTCCCTGGTATCTCAGGCCAGGGGAGGACAGGACACGCCACCAGAGCAGGGACACCAGGCTGGCTCTAAATCAGCTAATCCTCCTCTTCCTGGGCATCAACCAACAAGTTCTTGGTGAAAAATCCTTTCTTCTTCCCAAGTAAAAACACGCTGGTTTCCACAGCACCGCTCTCAGCAAGCTTTTATCTACTTCCTTGCAAGCTTTTAGAGGCAAAGATCATTTCAGGGGAATTCCTTGGTGAAAACACAGAGACTTTTTCCAAATTGCTACCATTTGCGGGAATTTCTTCTGCCCCTGCCAATGTCAAGCACACTGGTAATATCCCAACAGGTGATAAATGGCACCTCCTCCCCCTGCAGAGCATATGTGATCCCAGGAGACCTGTCCTCCTCAATAACCCTGAAGTACCAATATAAGGCAAGCACATACTTGGCCAGAGGACTGCCCTTCCACCTCCGGATGTCCCTCACACCATTCATGACATGCCACCGCAAGCAGAGGGGGCAAGGAGAGGGCCAGGTGACTCCAAGCCTCCAGCTGCCTAACACAGTTACCCATGTGCTGCTCAATTTACAAGGTGTCAGCTCACACGTTCCAGCTGAAAAAATGAGGCAGCACTCAATGTTTTGATGGCCAACGGGACAGCAAGCCCTCCCCAAAAAAGAAAAAACAACAACTGGTGGGAGAGGAGGAGACAACGGTCAGGGACACCTCACCAGTATCTCCTGCTACACCGAGCCCTAAACACAAAAAGCAACGCACAGCAACATCCTTCCAGGAGGGGCACATGCAGAACTCTCACACCAACCTCAAGGTAGGGCAGGTCTGAAAGGTTTGCTGCTTCTCTCTGTTATTATTCATATTAGATGCAGCCCCTCGATCCAATTTGTAATCGCCCAAGTGGCTGTGGCAGGTTATGTGCAGCATTTAAATGGAAAGAAGGAAAATTTAGATCAGATACTAGGAAGAAATTCTTTCCTGTGAGGGTGGTGAGACACTGGAACAGATTGCCAAGAGAAACTATGGCTGCCCCATCCCTGGAGGTGTTCAAGACCAGGCTGGATGGGGCTTTGAGCCACCTGGTCTGGTGGGCTGTGTCCCTGCCCATGGCAGGGGGGCTGGAACTAGACTATCTTTAAGGTCCCTTCCAACCCGAACCATTCTATGATTCTATAAGGTATGGACGGTCCAGATAAGGATGGCTGAGAGATGCTGCCCAGGACCTACTTCTCGACACATGGCCTCAGCAACAGGAACATCTCCAGCCACAGCCTCACGTATTGCAGCAGCTGGTACTACATGAGCTGGGGTTGTACCTGACCTGCTATATGGTCCCTCACACCCTCTGGGAGGATCTGAGAGGGTCTCCTTCTACCGCCCTACCTGCCAAAGGTCCATCAACGCAACTATCGGATAGAAATCCCCTCTCCCCACCAATGGTCATTTATTATAACTACATTTCATCCTGCTGGACTCAAAGACAACCATACACAGGGCTTCTGCCTGCACAGCACAGATGCAAGGTCTTCCCTCTGCTACCCAAAATTGTGGTCATCAATCACTGTTCCCAACGGGATGTGAGGGAACGTTGATTAGCTGTTGCAGCAGTGTTTGCTTTAGCTTTTTACAGCACGTCATAGAGACTTATTTAAAGATTAACAGATTTTAAAGGCAAAACAATCCCTCCAGCCCCCTTCCAAGGGCAGAAAGGCTTCCACCCCAAAAAGCTACTCCAGACAAAAAAATAGGGTAGATTTTATCCGGTGTCTGATTTTAAACGAATCACAGGTCATTTAAAAAAGGGTTTATTTCTGGGAACCAGCTGTCTCCCAAAAATTCAATTTGCCCTGCATCTGACCCCATGTAAGTCAGCACAGCCTTTGGGCTACTGTATTTTACAACAGCTGACTACAGCCACTCAGGGGTCCCAAACCAGAGAGTCACCACAGGGGAGCAGAGATATATTCCAGCAGCATGACATTGCCCTACATAAAAATAGGAAGAGGTCACCAAAGGAACCAATTTATGCCAAAACTTCCCATCTTCCAAGGGAGAAGTGTTCAAGATGGCCCTTTGCAAAAGGAGTCAAAATGACATGCAAAATCTGAGCCACAGTCTTCATACAACCTCTCAGCATCTCTTTAAAGATGAGCACAGCTAACTGTTACACAGATCACACTTCTGTGAAATTTCATGCTTTTCTGGAGACGAGAGGAATTTTCTTAGTTTTGTTTATGTCAAACCAGCAAACATCACAGGAACTGGCAGCAGGAGTTCCTAAGGGCCTGTCTCCAAGGAAACTCAACTTAAAATAACTAAAATCACACCTTATTTATTTTGATGCAGACTTGCCAAAGGTCACTCTTACTTGAGAACTGAGGTGTGGTTTATTTCAACATCAGTCACATTTAACATAAACTGTTCTTGTGTGCAGTGGCAGCAGCAACCCAAAGGCTGATCCTGCTTTTATTTTCTTAGAGGAGCAGGCTGCCTCAATCCCACTGCCAAAGAAGAGACTAACCAGTTTCCAGACTGGTAACAGCCAAGAGCCTGACACCAGTCCTGTAGAAGTCCCTTCACCCCAGTCCACCCCAGTGGTTTCTAATGCACGACCCACTGAATCACAGAAAGTGATTTAAGAAGCCTGAATCGACACGTTACAGAGCTCCCAAACATCTGCAATTCCACTGGGAAGATTTTAGGCATCTATAAATTGAAAAGCTGCAATTAAGTCAACTGAATCACAAATATAAAAGGACTCCCAGCTAAAACGCACATTTGCACCAAATACTGAGCCTTGCTTATGATCAATCAAAACCTCCACCACAAAAGGCAAGACTGATCTATCTGTCGGGAGGGATCACAGGGGTCCAAGCAGAAAAAAATAAATAAACCAATAAAGAGTTAAAAAAAACCCTGAAGTGCCTATACCCAGATTTCAAAAGCAGAAAATAACCTATACATCCTCGCAATTAACCTATTTCACCAGAAAAGCACTTAAAATGGAGTGAGCAGCACTTTTGAGCTATGGCAAGGATTGCTGAGATTCTGCTTGGATCTGAACAACAAAACCAGAGCTGGAGCACCTCAGATGAGATCAAGAAGGGGAAAAGGAGATAAGGAAGTGAGGTGTCCTCCTAAGCACTGGTGTCTGCAGGCAAGAAATAAGGCTAAACTCCGAGAGGCTGGGAATGAAGGAAGAACACAGTGTTCTCACCATGTCCCAACGCTGGACCCGTTATCAAATGAAAACAACTCTTGGGAAAACATGATGTCTGCTTTTCTGATTAACAGCACTTACATGTCTCTAAAGGGAAAACATGGACAGTGACTTGTTACTACACTAAGCTCATCCAGGGCTCGCATTTCCAGACATTCAGATCACTTCCTAACATAAGGCTGTCCCGCTTCTTCATCGTACGATCTATAATGCATCATGGTTTAAATACCCAGTAAGCAAAAGGCACATGTGGCATAGATCTGAAGACAGAGGTATTTTATAGCTCTTCTTTCTACTGAGATCAGGTTAAACAGTCCGAATCACAGATAGGAAAGGCACCTCTGGGTCTGCCAGTCTCACACTGGTACCATTATCTTGGATCATCAGTTTTTAATCAGACACACAATCAGGCAGCTCACTTGTGATTCTCAAAACTGCACGCATCAAATCAGCAAAAAAGCCCCTGCTCAGCAGCAAAAGCAGCTTCAGAAGCAGGCAGGAGCCTCCACAGAGGTACGTATCACACTGGCTACGTGCACTGCAGACACCCTACAGCTCTGCGTTTGGTGAAGGGCCTGAAACATAGAACAGGGCACTGGGGATGAAACCACGAGCTGCAGAGACGCCAAGCAAAACCCACGAGGAAACAAGAGCTGCTCAGGAAGCCGGGAGGAGAAACACAGCCAGCCAGCCCGTGTTTCCCCAAAGGGCCAGGGAGCAGACACAGCTCAGCTGTCTGCAGAGATACAGATGCTGCTTCTTCCCCAGAAGAATTGCCACGGGCAAAAACCTCCTGCTCCGGGCTGAGATTTGGACCTCAGCCCTGCTGGTGCCATGAGGC